ATGTTCTTAGGTTTTTTGAAATATATATATATACATGTTGAAATTTCATTCTAAAACCCATCTTTTTTTGTTTTTTCATGGATTATGATCTGTCAAATTTGTAGTTTTCTTTATTGGTTTTGAGTGTTTATCTTAAAACTCAAGTTTATTGGTTCTTTTCTCTTGGTGTAAATCAAACATATTTGTGGAGTCGTTTAAATAAATTGGATTTTAAACTGTCATACAATTTTTTTCATCGATAGTCTGTAATTGAAATCATAACTCTTATTTATTCAAATTRTATTAATATGTAAAGACCAAGTGTAACATATATCATATTTAAATCATATCTTATAAAACCAGTGGAACTTCAAAATCGTTAAAATTCATGGCTCCCGCCGCATTGCGCGGGTACACAACTAGTGTTTGAGACATTTAAACTTACATATTTAAAAAATTGTAATTTACTTTTAATTATGAAAATTAACATATTGTAATTTTTTCCATATCGGTTTCGGTTATAACCAACGGTGAAAAAGAGAATTTTTACTCTTAACGGATTCCCCAACGGGGACCGGGACGATTACGGGGACGGAGATACCAATACCCGGCGCGTTGACATTCCTTTTTTTGGGCAACTATTCTTGATATCATAAAAGGAAATAATGTAGATAGAGGGGCCGTAAAATAAATATAGATAGAAAATTAAGATAAAAATTCAACGTCGCCTGAGAGATTCGAACTCTCGCGGGGAAACCCCATGTACTTAGCAGGCACACGCCTTAACCACTCGGCCAAAGCGACAAGGATATCTTTACAACGCACACAATATTTGAATCCACATAAAATTCCTAATATAGAATATTTAAATGACTGGTATTTTTAAAATTTAATATTAAGAATAAAATTTAAATCCACATAAATTTCCTAATATAGAATATTTAAATGACTTGGGATTTTAAATTTTAAATCTCCACACACACATATGTATAGGTGAATCATCGTGCGAAAAAGAAAGTTATGATGAGAAGTGTAAGAAAATGTTTAAACTCTTAATTACTTTTAATCTCATGTTCACTCATGAATTGCGTTTTAGAAACGAATTGATCTGATGCATCTCTGTATACCTCATTAATTTTGACATTCAAATATGATTGATCTAAGGGTGGTGATCTTTCTTACGCTTGTCACCATAACTTCTTTTCTTACCGTAATCCAATATGTTGCCTCTTATCGGTAAGCGTTTATCAGATAGACATTTGGGTAAATTAACCCAAAATGATAATTTTGTTTTTTAATATTCAAAATTAATGTCGTTTTAATCATCTTTATGATAGTTTTTAATGATCTATTTTGTTATAATTTTTTTTACTTTAAATATATAATCAATTAATCAAAATATAATAAAATTTAAAAATGAAAATATCAAAAAGCTTTTCTTCCAACCCATTAGATTTCTCCCACCTAAATACACAAAAAGCTTTTGTAAAGGTTTTTCAGGTAATAATAAGCTATAAAAAGTTTTTGTTTTTGGCATTATGAAATAAACGTGATATGCTCGTGTAACTAATACACACCATACATTCATGCATCATATATATATATATATATATATACATATATATGCATATACTCCAAAAAAGATGCACTATATGAGTGTTTTTTTGCCATTTTGTGCCAGAAGAAGTGCACGGCCCCTTTGTTGTAGTTCGATGCCACAACTAAAAACAAGATACACAAGTTCATATACATGAGGACACCACAATTGCAAACGTCGCTATGTACAAACACAATGGTACGTTTTTTGTGGTCAATTATTATAAAAAGACAAACATTATATACCTATTCGTTAATGTGATAAATAACAATTATAGGTAATTAATTTGATAGGTATCATATCTGTATTTTGAGTTTGATTAGTATATATTATTATGAAACATTTTAAAAAACTGATCCTTTTATTGAGCAGTTAAACAATACAAAACCTGATATATATATATATATATATATATATAAGAAATATAGAGGTATTATATACTAACTTTGTTATTCAAATAAATGAAAAGATTGTTTCCATGAAAAAATCAAGGGTCTGTTTGGTAATGATAAAATGTTTTCAAGGGATTTGTGTTTCGTGGAGGAATTAAGAAATATTGGTGTGTAGGATTTGGAATAGAATGAGATTGAATTTCATTTTTATAAATAATTTACAAAAACAAATTATCAATGATTATTAAGATGATTAACTTTCCGTTTATCAATTGATTATTAGAAAACGAATGTTTTTAATATCTTTTAAGATACTATTACAAACAAATCATATGTTATTTCATATGATTTCTAAACCCCACAAACATTGCGTTTAGAAATCCCATACAGGTAGCTGGTATTTCATATGATTTGTTTCAAATGATATCGATCACTTCTTATGGACTGGAAGATGGCTAGATGGTGGGGAAGCAGTATTGTTCCGGCAAGCTCAACAACATAACGCCTTCGCCTTCACCTTCACCTTCATGGAGACGAATCCTTCTCGCCATGGTTTTTCCAAATTTAGCAGTCATCCATTTGGGCCACTAGCTACATATTATGGGGTCATCTCAATAATGTTATTTATAGGGAAAAATATGTATCTACTGAAGTACTATTGCAAGGAATTCGAGCTGATCTCAAGAAGAGTACAAAAAGGATCTATTCCGTGGGAACCGTGGATCATAAGTCCAAGTTTTTTATCTCGAAATACGTAAGTCTTAATCAGGCTAGAAACACGGAGGTTATTCACAAGACTACTTATTTTTTATATCAAGTGTACTGGTTTTGAGGGGGTGGTTTGGTTCATTTTATCTAGTATTGGTCCCTAGTCAATTTTGTTTTCTTTCGGATTGCTTTTTGGTTTGATTATGCAATTTGCAGAATCTTTTGTTCGATTTTTGTATTAATATTATTGTGTTGCTTTAAAAAAAATGGCACGTCTCGTTAACTAAACGATCAGGTATACTTGTCTACCAGGACCCTTGTCCTATGTTAACCAATTTCAACTCTTTTAAATATTTATTTTGTAATAATTATTTTTATTTATAATTTATTTTATACATTATCAAACAAAAAATATAAATCAATTTAATTTAAATTTTACTAACCAAAATTACAAAAGATTTTAAATCATTTAAATCCCAAAATTTATTAAAAAAAAATCCAAATTTAAAAAGAAAGCAAAAGAGCAATTTACATGTGAGAAAAGAGGCAAGGAGCGTGAGTTGTTAAAATATATTCCGGTAAATTAAGTTTTTTTGTCCCTGGTTTGCTAAAATTTATAATTTTCATTCTTATAGTTTAGAAATTATAGTTTTCATCAGGGGCGGAACACAACCCTTGTAGTCCGGGGGGCCGAAATATAAGAACATCTTCAATAGATTTTTCAAAATTGAGAAAATGGAGATTTTAGGCATATTTTTGCTCCAACAGGCTCTCCAAAATTCTCCAAAACGGAGAAAACATGAGAGTGTAAACAAAAATTGATTACAATGAGAGAGAATCATTTTTTCCATCATATTCACACCGTTAATAATCATTGATATTAATGGTTTATAGGTCACTGACAAATCATTTTTTGTCTTTATTTAACCCCAAGAATGGATTGGATCGAAACGATTAACCGAGAAATAGTGATACCGGTGTAATTTACTTTAAAAACTTATATTTACATATAATTAATATATTATATAAAAACTAATACATGTAATTAAATATTAATAACTTTTATAAAGTGCAAAAACAATTGCTTGGGATGGGATTTGAAACAGCAACCTCCAATATATAAGAGGTATATCATTGCCAACTGAGCTACTTAATGTATATGTTTTTAATAGCTTAGTTATAGTATTTAAGTAGAAAAGCGGGGGGGCCATGGCCCCCAAAGGCCCCTATGGGGTTCCGCCCCTGGTTTTCATCCTAATAATTTGTATTTTATTTTTATTTTTAATCTTATAATTTATTGTTGTTCTGGTCCCTATGATTTAATTTTTTTTACGGTTGTTGTCCCTTATACTTAAAAGCAGGGAGAAACCCATAAATTTTTCAAACAATAGTAACGTTTGACTATAAAAAAAAAGGGAAATAATTTCAACGATAACACCATTTGACCATAAGAAACAAATATACAATTTTTTTTCAAACGATGACACTATTTGACTAAGAAAATGACACTAACATGATTTGAACTTGGGTCTAAGGTAGAATAAAAGCCTTGCAAACCAACTCTATCAAATAAAACTTGTTTTCATTGTAATTTCAAAATACATACAGTGATACACGACGAAATAATACAGTTGCACATTTCACGAACCTAATTTTTTTACCCTTCGACGGAGAAATAATACGGTAGCACGTGCCACCGTATGCTCTACTGTAGGTCCGTCACTGCTTAAAAGTAGGAATTTGGACAAAAATACAAACCCATCTCATTATTCTTTAATAGAATAATACTTCAATAAATTTCGCTTTATTTTGAATTTAGTTCATATTTACTTTAGGTTTATTTTGTAGAATGAAATTTCATCAATAAGAATTAATTTTTAAATATAAATAAGAAGTCTTTATGTCATGTTATCAAGGTCCTCCTTTCAAAAAAATGCGTCGCCTAAGGCATTTACCAGGACTAACTAATAAAAAACCCAGAGCTGGAAGTGATCTTAGAAACCAATTGCGTTTCGGAAAAAAAAAAATCCCAATATCGTATTCAATTACAAATTATAGGGATAAAAATGATAATTTCTAAACTACAGGGACAACAACATAAATTATTAACAAACCACATGGACTAAAATTGTAATTTACTATTTTGTTTAAACTTTAAATAGAGAGTATTTTTGGTTTGAAAATTCGGATCTTTGGCGGGTTTCGGGTCGGGAATATAAGATGAGCTGAGAATTCACGTCTCTCGATGCCTAAAAAAAGAATTCGTTTCTTTCGTATTTTAACGTACTAAATATTCTCCTAAAATCTCGATCTGCAAAATCTTCACGGAATCTACCAAGAACTCACTCGGAAGATCATTATATATCTCTAGATTCTTGTATATGAATCCAAATCGGCATCGTAAGCATCAATTTTGTCGAAAAATGAGTGCATTTGATCGATTTGAAGGTTTCATTTTATGAGACGCTGTCTTGTAATTGAGGAATTTCTCTATGTTTGCATTGGAATTAGGGTTTTATTGTTGTTTTGCTAGATGCGTGTAAATGCTTGTTAGAGGGGATCTAGGGTTTTCCTCCCTGGTGTTCCTTGTGGTTGTAGTTGTAGTTTTGCCGGTGATCGTGTTCATTGTCCGTCGGAAATGGCGGCATTTGGTGGCGAGGAGGGAGGAGGTTAAATGGCTACTGGCTTCGGCTTCCGAGGAGTCAGCTAGGGTTGAGTTTGAGTTTGAGGCTAGAGAAACGTACTTTTACACTGCCAATGGTACACCCTCTGCCAGGGCTTCGGTTTCACCTTCCGCTTCAGCTCCGTTGGGTTCACCGCTAAAACCGCAATACAAGTGTGCTGTTTGCTTTTGTCCCACCACCACGCGTTGTGCCAAGTGCAAAGCCGTTCGTTACTGGTAAGGTTAATTAATTCGGACTTCTAGAGTGTGAAATAAATGATCCCTCTTTTCATTTTAATTTTTGTGCCTAATCCCTGTCGAGAAGACAAATGAAACTTGTAAGAAAGAAAAGTCAATTTGCGAGAATTTTTTTTCTTGTAACTTGCTTTATAAGTCGTTAAAATAGTTTTGATGGCTCAAAACAAACATGTAAATGGACGATTACTTTCTGGTTGGTGTTTAAAATAACCTAAAATACAGAGCTATCTGATAAGGGCATGGGGTCCAGGGGTTGTGTCATCTTTAGAGTACGCTGGTTGTCTACTTGTCTTGCTGACATGTTAAGAGTTGATGCACGGCGATGTTCCAATGGTCCATCCAGTGATCTGATGCACTAAAATAACGCAATGTTAATTGCTAAAGGTCATCTGTGAAGCGGGTACTCTACATGTACTTTCCTGTGTGCCAGCTCACCAGATCAGTAAAACTTTCCCTATAATTGGCAAAAACTGGCACACAGCTTGAACTTTGTTAATTCCTTCTAAGCTACTATATTCCTTTTCCGATTCTGAATGTATAAATCTAATTGTGAAATGACCATTCTGCAATGCTGTATTACGGAATGATAATTTGGATTGTTGTGACTGTTCTCCCTATTATTACAAGACATGCTCCATTAATGTGTGTAAAATGCTAGAGAATTAGTGATACTGCTAAATATGTTCTGATTGCTTGGTGAATAGGTTCATGCAGATACTTTTGGTTTCGCAGTCAGATTGATTCAGTCAAGTTAATAAACGAAGATATTTTAACGGTATATAAATGAAGACATTATTGTCTTTCATGACACTAATTAACCTGTGTGCAATTTGACAAGCATCTTTAACATCCATCGTGGGCACATGGGACCTCACAGTAGGTCACAAGCTTTAACGAAGCAAGGATTTCTGCTTAATTTAGTGACTATGAAATTCTCCTTATTACATGGCTTTAGTCAATATCATGTATTTTTGTGCTAAGTTGCCAATGTTATCCATCAAGGCTTCAACTATTTTAGCCTGTGTTAACGCTTGAAAGTTCTATTTTTCTGTAAATGCAACATTATGCCTTTTAAATATAAGAGGAATTAGCTACGAGGTTTCTTTTAAGAGAGCAGTATGGCGTGGAAATAGGGTAGTTCAATAACTTACTAGACAATGCTAGAGGATGCATCCCTATTCATATCACATGTGGTAGCTGTCATTTACAAGCCCGGTCTTCACGAAACCAACTCTCTACTTATTGGGTTAGCTAAGGTCTATGTACATCCTACCCTCTCTACTTTGTGTGGGATTTACTGGTTTGGTTTGGTTTTAGACATTATAAGTTATAACACTGTAATAGAGTTGATTGTTTTTTAGGGAGGCATGGTTGTAACTTTCTATTTCTCATTACTTGTGATAAATTTATGTGTACATTTTTATATTATTATAGATTAGTTAATCAATTGGGAGTTCACCTTTTATGTTGGGAGAAAATCACTAGGTGCATCCTATCAAATATATTCAGGGAATACATGTACTAACATGAACTTTACTAGTTTCAATGTTTACCTTTTATGTTTGGAGAAAATCACTAGGTGCATTTTCCTATCAAATATATTCAGGGAATACCTGTACTAACATGAACTTTACCTGTTTTAAAGCTGTTTCCCCATAATGGAATTTATAATATCTTTATCAACTCCATCTCTAACATTGAGTATTCTGTACATGGATTTTTGCTAACATGTTTCTGTCTTTGCTTTAACTAGTTTCCTATGGGAAAGGTGGGGTTGTGGTGTTCTAGAAAATTCCTTATGTTGTTCAAAACTTGCTGGACAAATGAAGGTTGGTATGATTAAAGTTCAGAATATTTCGATTTACAACTTGAAAATCAGTGTGTAGGAGACTAACCTGATAACCTAGTGGTGAAGTCTTCTCAATACTCATCAATGTTGAATCTTTTCATATGTCACTGCACACACTCAGTCCAGCCTTGTGTGGGGAAATCATAGCTAGAATAACTTTATACATGAAGATTAGAGGAACATGCTTTGGTAAAATGGGACATGTTGAGGGACTAAAACGGGACATGCTTAAAATATCTTTACCACTTCTATTATGCTCCATAACTTGTTCATAATTACTTTATTTCCAGATGGAACTTGCATGTCATGCATGTGAATGCTACTTGAAGCCTTGAATTGATAACAAAATTCTTCCACCCCATTGAGGATGGTTCATTTTTCAGAAGAAGAAACATAGCATCTAGGACAATGTTAGTACCAAATTTGTTGCTACCAGGGTATCTATTTTAGTTAAGATAGAGAATACTACTTCAGTGTGTTGGTTCTTGTTCTATTTGGGAGCCAAATTGAATGATTTTAGCTATTTTAATGGATTCCATTGCTAGAAACTGGATGTGCTCAATCGATGGAATAATTCACTAACTTTTGTCTATTGTATTTCATTGTTCATATGCTGAAGAATAGGTATATGTGAATTGTGTTTTTGTTATTGTGAGTTGTGACAAATTAAAATTGGAGGCAAAAAGGAGTAGAATTGCTACGATTTTTATTTTCTATTTATATTTGTTTATTTATTTTTGTATGTTGTACTTGCTAGTTTTTGCATCTAAAGACATCAATATTTTGTACGAGTGACCTTGCAAATATCCTTTTTTCCCTGGAAAGTGACAAAATTCAGCAGTCCAGCATAACATTAACACATATCATTTTACATTTTAATTTCAGTTCTGGCAATTGTCAAATTATTCATTGGAGACAAGGTCACAAATATGAGTGCCGTCCTTATGTTTCTGTGACTCCAATCAGCGATGTGGGAGGCAGCTCTTACAGGCAAGGGGATTGTAAAGATCGGAGTGATGACTTTGGTACCGAAGTGAAGCAAACTGCTATACCAGCTGAGAGATTCCCAGAAAATTCACATCACAAGGATGATGTTGGAGTTGAATCCCTTGCTCATCGGCAGGGTACAAATTCTACATCTGAATCAAATCCCCCCTTGTCATATGAGGGACATTCTCTTTTCTCTCCCCCTACAAAAGTTTCTGCGGGCGTTACCTTTGAGAACAGTGAGACGGTGAAACCAGCATTCCGGACTTTGGTCAGCTCTGCAAGAAAATCAACTGTCTTAGGGAAGAACAATAAGAAAATATCTACCCTTAGTGATGAAGATGCTCAGCTCGGGACTTCAAGTTCATCCTTTTGGACTGATGATGGCTCTAATCAGTCTTCACTTTCTGAGCCTTCTACGAACTCTTCTGTTGGGACTATTCATAAGAGAAAGTCCAATATCGATGAGCATGATGATTGTGCACCAGGCAGTTCTTGTGAGGCTGCAAATCGTTACATGGCTAGCCACAGGACAAAAGGTGGTTATAATAGTAATATTATGAATGGATTTAGTGCCTCCAAAGTCATAGATGGATCTGGTCTAACTGGGTTGGGAAGTAGGAAGTCTAATGATGATAGCAATTCATCAAAGGACAAGGTCAATGATGGTTCCAAGTCCAGGAGATCAATGACCTGGGATGCCGGTGTTGGCAGTGATTTGCCACCATCGAAGTTCAGCGAATCAAGTCATCCTCCGTCTGGTGCTTCTTCTCATCGTGCTTCTGCAGGGTATTCAACACTTAAAGATGATAAAACCGTTGGTGGCTTGCCTTCTTCTGGCCCCGAGAGGTCAAATGATCTTTTCAGTAACAAGAACGTGACTTCCCACACATCTAAATCTAGGGAACTAGGTTCATCATCATCCAGAGCGTCTGATACTTATTTAACATTTACCAGTAGACATGCATCTTATAGTATAAAGCCTGTGAAGGTCAACAATGACAAGCATAGGGTCACTACTTGTTCATCCCAGTTGACAGAAAATTATCCAAGTGTTAGAAGTGCATCAAATACATCAAAATTAAAAGTTGTTGATCAGGTCAAGCCCTCAAAGTTGTCTAGTCAGGGGTCATTGGAGGGAGGAAGTGAGACAACTCACAGATACAGTTTCAAGGTCTGGCTTGGAAGGTTAAGTTATTTCCAATTTCAACTGTGGAGTCTGAGATTTATTAGGTGATAATTTTGATACAATTTCGACAGGGTCTCTTCCCATATGAAATGTTTGTCAAGCTGTACAATTGGAAAAAGTTTGAACTGCAGCCTTTTGGACTAAAAAATTGTGGAAACAGGTAGGGTTTGTCATTATGCTTTTTGTATTTGCTATTTATTTTGTTCTGGGCTTCCTTTAGTTTTATCTTTGCACAAATTGCCATATTACCAAAAGCTCATGTGTAAGGATTTAATGGTTATGTTGACAGAGTTATAGAAGTCTACTTTTGGCATATACCCTAGTATTATACTGTTTTTTATGATGACACTGGTGTTCGTGTTCTTGTCAGTGTTCTCATTTGTTCTTATCTTAATAATTTTCATATAATGCCCGACATATTCTGCAGCTGTTATGCTAATGCTGTTCTCCAGTGCTTAATATATACCCCGCCTCTGACTGCTTATCTTCTCGAAGGGATTCATTCCAAAGCATGTATGTTATCGTGCATTAGAAGTCACTCATCTTTGACCTCAATGCTTCACTAAACTATTAGTAAAAAATCTATTGCTATCTTTGATAGGTGATAAGAGAGGATGGTGCTTGACATGTGAGTTTGAAGGCCTTGTTATGAAGGCAAAGAACCGGAACTCTCCACTGTCTCCTATTCGCATACTTACCCATATTGAAAACATCGGAAGCAATCTTGGCCATGGGAGAGAAGAAGATGCACATGAATTTCTAAGGTGAGCAGCCTCCTGCTTTTAAAAGTCTTATGGAAGAACTTATGCATTTCTTCGAGTTTCCACAATATTTTATTTTTGTTTGTGCTGTCTGAACCAGTTATTTTGTGATTTTACAGGTATGTTATTGATGCTTTGCAATCAGTTTGCATCAAGGAAGCTGGAAAAAATGCTCTAAACTCTTTAGAAGAAGAAACAACTATCATTGGACTTACCTTTGGGGGTTATTTGCGGTCAAAGGTAACCCACGTGGTTTTGGAGAATTAAGTTCGAAAAATTCACTAGAGTGATTGTACCTCTCCATCTTTTTGCGGGAGTTGCATAAAAAGTTGATGGTTTTGAATTATAGATAAGCTGCATGAAGTGTGGCGGCAAATCTGAGCGGCATGAGAGGATGATGGATCTCACTGTTGAAATAGAAGGCAATATACGAACATTAGAAGAGGCTTTGGATAAATTTACATGTACTGAGATTCTGGATGGTGAAAACAAGTACAAATGCAGCAGGTTGGTTCAGGCATTTCAATAATTTTTTTTTTGTGTTGTTACTGTGTGATGCAGAATCTGTTGCTTTCCACCTAGTTTACATTCTCAGAAACTTTTTTTGTGTTGTTACTGTGATGGATAAGATAATCTGTTGCTTTTCACCTCGTTTAAATTCTCAGAAACTTCATGATCCAGTATTCAATTTTGATCATTCTTGTTTTCTGTGTTTAGGCTTTGTTGTATGCCAATTTCCTATGGGGATTCTATTTTGTAAGGAATATATATACAGATATGTCTGAGGTTCAATCTGGAAGAATTATGTTATGATATGCTTTTCCTTCGCATTCTTTCCTTTTACTTGGATTTTTTCACTATGTGAACATGGCTAATGATGATACCTCTATGATGCTTAATGGTAATCATCTGGAAGCTATGAATCCAATCGTTACTTCAGTTTCTGTACATATTTTTTTCGTTTTCCTAATGCTGCTTGTTGCAAATTGTCCATCTCTAGCAGTCAAAGAAAGAAGAGTTTTTGTCCATATTGTAGTTTTCTAACATTAGATAATCGGCCGAGCAGTTGTGGCAAGTGCTTTGTTCTTCAAATTGCTGCACATCTGTACTAATTTTGTTACTACTTTGTGCTCCAGGTGCAAATCCTATGAGAAAGCCAAAAAGAAATTGACATTGTTGGAGGCTCCGAATGTGCTTACTATTGCATTGAAACGGTTTGAGGTAACATTTCTCATCAGAAGATAATTGTATAGCCTTTGGTACTGAATTTGGTTTCATAGGGCTAACTTTTCATGCTTCCATTGTTTTACAGTCTGGTAAATTTGGAAAGCTTAACAAATCAATTCGCTTCCCAGATATTCTAGACATGGCTCCCTATGTCAGTGGGACAAGTGATAAGTCTCCAATTTACAGACTTTACGGACTGGTGGTTCATATAGATATGATGAATGCTGCGGTCTCTGGTCATTATGTTTGCTACGTTAAGAATGTTCAGAATCGATGGTTCAAGTTTGATGACAGCATGGTATGTTTTCAGCTTCGTGTTTTTCATTGCCAAAGCTCACATTTTCTGAGTTTCATCTTCTCTGTTATGTCATGTATATTTTGTCTTCTAACTAGAAAATATGTTGGGTCATTTAGTTAAATGACCTTAAATGAGTTTATAATCAAGATCAGGGGCGGAGCCAGAAAGTTTATCTAGGGGGTGCCCAGAAAAAATGCAAGAAAATTCACGATTTTAAGGTTGAGAAAACGCTTTTTAAGTATGTGTTTTCTGATTAAATACTTGTCCTAAAAATAGTTGTAAAATAGAATTGAAAAATATGGGTGACCTAAACAACATAACCATGCCTATATTTATACAAATAAATACAAGATGTGTGTTGGTAACCATATAATACGTGAAATTTATTGTAATTTTTTTGTGTATTCAATAAAGTAACATGTTTATTTTAGAACCTTTAGAAAACTTGACATTCATAAAGGAAGAAAAAGAAGAATTTGATATGAATAAATAAAGTTTCAGGTGGGTAATTGAGGTTTGGGACTATATCAAAATTTTAATTTTTGAAGTTTGAGGGGAGCCAATGCCACTTCTGGCTCCAAGCTGGTTCAGCCCATGATCAAGAGTGTGAGCTTTTACTTTTTTTTTGACTCTATAACCTTCAAATAACTCTCTGGTGTAAACACCTTGCCTCTAGTGTAAAGCACCTTGCTCCCGTAAAATCTTGAAAAAATATTAGAAGGTTAGTTTGTAAATGTGACTTCCATAGAAGGTCATTTAACTAAATACCCCAAAAAATGCTCCCTCTGTTCTATCATGATTGTAATGGTTGATTGTGCACATGGATTTGGATAAATGGATGACTATTTGTGAAGTGTTCAGAAATATTCTTCACTGATGATATAACAAGATAACATTGTGGACCGACGTTAAAACATCAAACCAAACCAAACGAGTCCAGAATATTCTCATCTGGAGGTGGGGTCTGGCCGTTTGGGGGTGGGATGTACACATGCCTGACCTCTATCCCAAAGAGTAGGTCGGCCATTTCCATGATGACCCATGGCTAGTTTAAATGATGCATTGCTGTCAAATTATTGCATCTACGAATTTTATCACTTAAATTTGTCACGTGGAAGTATCTTTTCTTAGGGCCTGTTTGTTAGCAGCTTAATGAGCTTAATGGGACTCACAACTTATGCGGTCAGCTATACATGACTGTTTGGTAGTGACTTAAGAATATAGAAAGTGGCTTATTCATAAGCATCTAGGGGGAGCTTTATGCAGAAAGCCAAAAAAATTCCAAACCTGCCCCTCCCATTTAAAAAACACCCTCCTTTCGTCTATGTAACAACCTTCCCAAAACAAAGACCTTCTCAAGCTATACTGACAGATTAATCCACAAAGGCAGGTCTATTCATACAGGACTTAATGGAAAACCAACCAAACGGTCCCTTAGTCATTGTCTTATACTACCTCTTTTCTTCCCTTGGAGACCACATTGATTTGTAATATGCTATTATGGAGTCACATTATTTAAAATCTTATGCTTCTAATCGACAATGTAGGTAAAAGAGGTAGATCTTCAACACGTGTTGACAAAAGGAGCCTACATGCTTCTATATGTGAGGTAATGTTGATACTTCTTTTTCCATTCACTATATTTGCTACATTTTTGCTTCTTTAAGCCGAGCCATTTCACTTTGTTTAGATTTTTCCTAAACCATGCGAGTCATATGAAGTATGAACAGGGGAAAACCAAAGTGATCCACCTAGTTATTGCCTTTTAAGTACTATGAAAATTGCGATTCTTTGACTAGGCGCATGGTTAACAAAAGTGTTTTCGACTATTAATTTAATGTCTTAGGCTATGTTTTGTAGTTTAGCATATAAACTAGCTGTAGGTTAATAAGCTAGGTGTTAGCCGAAAAATTGCATGTAAAAACTAGCTGATAAGCTAGTTGACAATATAAAATGACCTAAAAGAAAATGTTGAGAAGTTAATTGGAAAAATATAAGGGACATAATTGGGAAAAAGTGGAAAAAATCCCTTGGCGCTTATTAAAATGCTTCTTGAATTATCTTTTCAAAAAGCTAGCTTATAGCTTATAATTTAGCTTATGGCTAACCCAATGGGGCTTTTTTAATAAGCTCAAAAAATAAAATAGCTGATGCAAATAGGTTGCCCAGACGACGTCTTTCATCCACTAGTACTAGGAGTCAGGAGGAATTTAATGACAGGACATGAATTCAAGTTCTAGATTTTTATGATTGCCTTAATACCCTTAAATAATGACAAAATAACGGAGTTTTGTGGGTATAAGACAATATTATCGTTTATTTGTAACGATTATAATGGGCAAACAGGTAATCTTAATTTAAGGTGTCGCAAAAAAATGTAGAATCATTCCAAAATGGGAGGTGCGGATATTTAAAGTGAAGTCAGAAGAAAATTAATAATGGAAATTGAAGTTGTGAAAAGATAAACCCTAATCTTGCCATCCATTATTCCATTAGTGGCAGGCTCAAATGAAAACTGTAAATATATTGAGAGCTATTCATGATGAATGCCATGATAAATATTCATCATGAAAATTATTCACAATAAAAAGGCATGATTATTCATCATGAATTTCCAGGCTTTCGAAAATTTTATGGCTGCCATCTGAACTTTCCCCGCTTTTATTATCTTTAGGACTAATATTCTGGTCAATATCTAACACCATTTTTCGTTGACACAACCACCAGGTGCTCCCCACGTGCCCCACGATCAATCCGCAACTCGTTAATCCACGACCACCATGATCCGAGGAAACACAGAACGCCACCATCATCTGCAGCGAGATCTCTCTCCACCGAACCTTGGGACATTCACACTTATCACCCAACTTCCGAACCACCGGTCCACCACCGGAGTCTGGAGGAGGAATCCTCCTCCAGCGACAACTCTGGATTCTTCTCGGAATCCTGTTCTTGCAGCACAGAGACCAGCGGCATCGAAGACCATATTTCTGGTGACGATTACTCAAGAAACATGAACTTGAATTCATCAGATTCCGACACCTCATCAACCTCTTCCTTCCCGTCCCCGTTGTACTCCAGGCTTTCTCAGTTGTACGCTTCGAGAACAAATGGTAAGGAATGTAGAAACTTAGATTGTAGTTATAATAGTGGTAGGGTAACCAACAAGTTGGATAGATTAGGAGGGCAGGCTATTAACCCAAACTCGAAACCAAAATCAACGACTCGAGGAAAATCCAACTGAAAAAGAGTAAACAACCATTCGTTCCTCTGGTTTGTTAAAAATTCCGACTTCCGTTCCTATGGTTTGCAATTCAGTGTTGTTTTTGTTCCCGAGGCCAACTATGTCAGTAAACCATAGGGACAAAAACCGTTATTTTGAAAGCATAGGGATGAAAATAGCAATTTTCAACAAACTATAGGGATGAAAAGTATAGTTTACCAAAACAGTAAAAAGGTAGAAGGCTCTTTGAAGAGGGTTAAGTAGAGAGAGGGGGAATAAAGGTTTGAGTGGGTGTAGGTGTAGGTGTAGGTGTAGGTGTATGTGTATGTGTATGTGTATGTGTATGTGTATGTGTATGTGTATGTGTATGTGTATGTATTGTGTAGTCTTGGAAAGGTATTCATTCAAGAGCCTTTCAACATTTTGGTACTCTCTTCCCCTTTTAATATATACAAATGTTCCATTTAAGATGCATACAAGTATAGATTGAATTGGTATAGATTTATTTTGTATCAAAAGAAAAACCAGCCAACATGGTAATCGGTCGTACCAATTGAATTGGCATAGATTTAATTCGGTTGATGTTACTATATCAAGTATGCAAATTTTGCTGACTTTTAAATATTTAATTAACTAATAAAGTAAATTTATAATTCATTTCTATTTTTGTCGTCATAAATTATAACCCACACTTAATTTTAGAACCATAACATAAACGTTTTACTGAAAACGTAATCTACTCCTCTACAACCCTAGCAGTTTGTCTTATTACTAGGTTTGTAAAGATTCCATGAAACAAGCATTTGTTTTTGTGTTAGTTTTTTCAAATTGTTTAAAAAAATAACTTGATTCATATTTTGGTTAACGTACTTTTAAAACTTCTATTTTGATATCTAAGATTTAAAGTTTTAAACATTTAAGTACCCGGGTAATGGTTAAAACATTAACTGGTTACACCGGTTACCATGCTGATGTGAAATCCAACTCAGTATTATTTGCTATTCAATCCAATTTTATCTCATCACTCGCCATATCAGCATGGTAACCGATTAGTGCTTCAACCAGTTACCTGGGTACTTAAATGTTTAAAACTTTATATCTTAAATATCAAAATAAAAGTTTTAATAGTACGTTATCCAAAATAGAAATCAAGTTAAAGTACGTTATTTTTCCATATAATTTGCCTTTTTTTAAGTATCAAACATTTGTAATTTTGAACTTTATTTGTATATTGAGTGTGTTTTTATGTATTCAAATCTTCCGTTTAATAAAGGGCATTTATTTATTAAAGGGCATTTATTTATTACCTTTTTTTTTAATTTTAAAAAACCTTTAAATTGATATTTAAAAGAAATTCAAAATCATTCATTCCATAGTTATTTTAATCCGACAAAAATATAGACTAAAGAAAAAAAAAAAAATTCTCAACATTTAGGACTTGTTTATTTTTTGAAAAAACTCACTTAATACCTCTTAATTCTGAATCGGTCAGACGTTTTTGTTTTCAGACTATTTTTTTAAATAAGAGTTGAAAAACTCTTATTTTGCTCTGAACAAAAAAGTGATAACCTAATCACTTAAATCTTCTTAATCGCTCTTTGGACTCTAACACGCTTCATCACCGTCTCCTTCTTTGGCAAGGAGCTTCTCCATCTCCCTCAACGAACTCCATGGATCTCTAAAGTCCAAGAATTGCTAGAACTCACAAAGTCCTTGTGGTGCTCTCCCCCCGGGTCATGACGACGTGACCGTAATAAACTCTGGAGTTTTCATCAAGAACGGAATAAATCATAGAAATATGAAGAAGGTGTTAATGGTGGTATGAACTCAAGGCCAAAATAAACTCTGGAGTTTTCATCTTCCTCGTCTCACCTCCTTCTTCTCGACCATCACCACCTTTGGCCTCCTCCCCTTTTGCGATTTGTGACCACTTGTTGACAAATCTAAAACCCCAAATCTTATTCGTGTATACGCAAGCAGCAGGGAATAAATAATATCGATTCATTTCTGTTGAGGTATCTAAAAACACAGTCGAAAATATAATCGTTGCATCGGCTTTCAATCAATCATTGAGTTTGGATTGAGCATTAAGCAAGTTTTGACAGAGATAAAGAGATTAGGGGTTCGATGGTTGAGGTGCATTAGTAGCGGATTCGAACAAATGGCAGGACTGTGAAAGATTTTAGTGTGGTTATTTAGAATTTTCGTTTTCAAACATGGGTAATTTTTGACTTCAGACGTAAAAAAACAGTCTGACTGATTTAGATTTCAGACTTCAACATCATCTCTTATAAATCAGAAGTGAAATCAGACTTCAGATTTCAGCACTATTTAAAAGACAAACGCCACCTTAAACTATTTATTAGCACAACAACAAAATAACAATTTATCTTATATTATACATATAACTTTATTAATACACATAAAAGTCTATCAACTTTTAATTTTAATATTTATTTAAATAAAATATCCGTTAGATATTTACATAATTAACTTCTGATGATTAATCCATCAGCAAGCCTATTTTCCCTTTGATCGTATACTTTGGGCCCCCGACCCAACCCAATCAATTCGGGTTCAGTACACCCATTACCCATTAACCGACTTTGACCCAATACCCGATTCTCCACCACCGCCTTCAACGCCCTCTTCAACGATTCAACATCATCCTCCCCTCCGCCGCCACATTCCGGCCACTCCACCACCACCTCTGCCTTTGTTCGCCCACCGACTGTTGCCATCTCGGCCTTCACCGCCTTCCCATGAACTGATTGAATCGTCTCCGTCATATCCTGAATCAGACCTGGCCTGTCTTCGCAACAAATTATTACTCGGACGGTTTTATTATTGCCACTACCACAATATCTGACAGTCATTTCATCGTTCTCGTCGGGTATAAAAAATGATCGTTGTGATCCGTTTCCGGAACACCGTCCTCCGTCGTCATGCGATTGGGACACGTCGACAACCATGTTTTTCAGCTCTTTTAAACGACGCACAGTCTCTGTTAGCACCGAAGCCTTATCAGTCTGCAAAACATGTTTTTAGATCCCAACAGCTATTCTATTCTATTCAATTTTTGAAATCTTTGCTTTAATAGACTTAGGAGCTAAGTGTTTATCAAGTTATATTATCTTACCGAATAAATATGGTAAGAATTAAAAATCTTCCTCCATAAGGGTTAAAGGCAAGGACGAGAGTCTTACTCGGTAAGACCAAAGACAAGGACGATAATTTTACCTGGTAAGTGAGGAAAACAACTCTTACCATGTTTAACATTTACCATGTAAAGTGTTGCATACAATACCTTTTCGTGGACTAAAATCTTACCTGATAAGTAAGTGATAGTATTGAATTTACCGTTAAGATTTTACCCAGGTAAACTTGGTAAATAGCCCCTTATTCTAAATTGACACATATGTTCAAAATGCTCTAAAATAAAGAAAATTTAACATATATGTTCCAGATGCTCTTACATCATAACACCTTAAAATATGACTTACTCTAAATTACAAATGTACCCTTATTGCTTTTTTTTGAAGTATATAATATTTATATACGATAAATGTAACAAATAAACTTACACATCCTCCTCACCTTTGGTGAGGTTTGAACCCCTTACCACCTAGGAGGTCTAGAACTACGATACCGCTAGGCCAAAAACCCTTTAATCTCTTATTGCTTTTGGATGACATGCTTGTTCCATAGCAAGATAAGGGTAATTGGAAAAATTACATACCTATTATTGATCTTTTCATTAATAATAAAAGTCTTTTTTATCAAAAATAAAATGACAGTTTTTGTGACATTTTAGAATTCTCGTATTGCATTGTTTTTGTCAGCTGCATATATTTAGACAAAAGTTGATAACAACTCCAATTGATATCATATGAAACCCGTCTCCAGGCCTTTAACGTGAGGGGTATCTTTTTGCTCACTCAACTGTGGATGTTGACAGGGATCGAATCCATGACCTACGTTGTATTTGGCCAGAGTCGTCCAACCTCTTTGCCAACTGAGTTACACGCTAGAGGTTTGTACATAGATGTGTATTATGTACGTACCTTGAGTAGTCTAGGGAAGAACTGTCGAAGTGAGTCGTAATGGTTGTTGATTCGTTTTCTACGTTTACGCTCAGAGAAGGCATGCTTTTGTGCTGCTAACTCGAGCATCGTTCTTAGTTTTGTGGTGGTTGTCAATCCTTGGACAGTCGAGCTATATGAATCTCCACTGTAGGCTTCATTATTCGATAATTTATTTTTCTCTTGATCTTCATGATTACCGAGAGTCCGATGGATGCCGTCGTAGCCTCGTGATGAAGCCATTATGTTCCGATGTTGGTGAATGGGAAAAAGGGTCAAAGAGGTATGTGCAGAATGATACTTAAATACGTTGAGAGATGATAATAAGAAATATCTCATGAAAATATATTTCATAATTAATGTAATAAATGAGAGTAAATTCTATTTATAAGGTAACATAAATAGGATTAGGGATATGAAATTTTGAAGAATTTAATTATTTAAAGAAAATAAAACAATATATATATATATATA